AAATCTTTAGATTTTCCATCAACTGGGAAACAGGAGAAATTTAACACAATTAGCATAACCTCAATACATTTGAAACGTATTTATTTGATGGATTGAAATCTCCTGGAAGAAAAGTATTTCTTGCCTATTGTGCATGTCAATTCTATTTCAGTCTATTGTGCAGGAAAAAGAAAATCTTTATGAAAGTGCCATTTTGTTGTGTGCAGCAGACATGTGGAGCCCTCCAATGTATTTTTACAATGCTGAATCCTGCTGCCAGCAGCGCAGAGGACTCAGGGGGTATAAAATGTGTTATCCACAGCCACAAAGGGTATGAATGTAGTCTCTGTGGAGGTGTTGCATGCCCTTTCTATGGTGTGGGAAAGGGAGCAGGAGCAACTGATGAAGTACCTGTGCCACAGTCTTGGTATGCAGCATCTCTGCTACATCCTTTGTATCTGGGGTACAATGTAAACCCTTTAGGATCTTAAAGTTCTCCAGAGGATGCGAGTTGACTACTAGCTACCAGACACTGTCTAGTGTAAAATCTGCCTTCTCCTTCCCTGAAAGCATATTCTGTATGCTGCAGAGAGACTGGTGCTAAGCATCCAGCCCAAAGCATCGGGATGGACACTGGGCAGGTGTGCCCTGTAAGCCTTTCTAATATCAGCCATAAAAAGGAGTGTACTTGGTAGTCCTCAGCCTCCCCATGGCTACAGAGTAGCAGTAGTCCAAGGCTAGCAATTGTCAGGATTCGTTTTCACTCCCTGGTTCATGTGGATCAATACAAGTAGGTAATAGGGACGAAAGCCAGCAATAAGGGAGGGGAAGGGAATTGAATCCAGCCTTGCACTGTCACAGGCAATACTGTCATGCAAGCTCTTTCCTGAAATAAGTATGCTCCATGTTACGAAACGATTTGTTTCAGTTGAATTGAAAAGCTGTTCTGCAGTCACATCAGAGCAGCATGTTTTCCTTTTCCCCAGGGATGTCAGAGATAAGAAAGATCAGTGGAGTGATATTATGAAGTTTAACAAAACGCTGAATCTCAGCCCAGCTAATCTTTGAAAAGTTTGGGTAAGCTCCTTTTTGGGATGCCAAAAAATTCTTGTAGGCAATTTTTTTTTTCTCTTGTGATGATGTCTGCAAATCACTTTTAGGGCTCTTCTATGTCAGCTCTTATGTCATGAAGCTGTGTTAATCCAGAATTTTTTTTTTAGTACTATGATCTCTATTTCATTTAAATTCTTTTCAACTATCAGTCAGACTTGAGACCTCCTTCTTAACCTCAGCATTTTAGTTTTCATTCCAGGTTGGTGTGATTTTCCTTTTCATAGAGAAATTAGATTTGTGGGTTTCAAGTGGCACATTTCTTGTGCTGTACTTCTTGTTTGAGAAGCTTCTGCATTGTAGCATTTCAGCAAAAACACCACTATTTTGCTCTGAAGTTGGTGTGATCCTCAAAAGCTAGAAGCAAGTGACTGTAAATCTTTGCATTTGTTTGCAATGAACCACTTCCTCAAATTCAAATTCACAGATTCACAGAGTGGCAGGGGTTGGAAGGGACCTCTGGAGATTGTTTAGTCCAACCCCCCTGCCAGAGCAGGATCACCTAGAGTAGTGATTCATTCCATAAACATGTGATGAAGACATCACATATTTATACTCAAGAGTTTCCAAGGATTCTTCAGGTTCCTGTTTCTCTTTTTTATTTCCTACATCAGCTATTATCTTTACGCCTGAGTATTTCTGCAGAGAACAACTGCTAACATACTCTGCCTGGTAGCTGGCATCCTTCTTCATGACGTGGGCACATTGCAGCAAGCCTGAGAAAAGCTTCGTCTCAACTGCTCTTTGTAAGACTAGGTTGAGTGCAAATGTAATTCTCCTGGTTCTGGTAATTCTAGTCTGAGTATATTCTCACAACCTCTAATTACTTTATTGCTCCTCAACCAACTGTTTCCCAGTCTTTTTGTTTTTCATAGGATAAATTTTTTTCAGTCTGATGTAGGCATTGCTATTTTGGCTGGTGTAGCTTCAGTTTTTTTACAGCTTAATTCCTTTCAGATTCCTACCTCTCTGTTGTGGTTTAATCCCAGCCAGCAATTAAGCACTCCTTGTCATGGTTTAACCCCAGCCAGCAATTAAGCACCACACAGCCGCTAGCTCACCTCCCTCTCTTCTCCAGTGGAGAAGGATGATAGGAGGAAAAGACAAGGTAATTTGTGGGTTGAGATAAGAACAATAAAATAATTGAAAGTAAATGGAATAAAATAATACTAACAATATTATTAATACTAATATTACTAATAATAATACATAATGAAAATAATGGAAAAAAACATGAAATGATACAACCAACATCCAGCCAGTCCCTGGACTAGCGAGACACAGAGCCAGAGCCAGCCCGAAAGCCAAAGCAGGAAAGCAAGAGCCCACTCCTGGCCCAACCCCCAATTTATATACTGAGCATGAAATTTTATGACATGAAATACCCCCTTGGCTGGTCCAAGGGAGTCAAGGACGGGTATGAAATACCCATCCTGACTGTGTCCCATCCCAGCTTCTTGTGGCAAAGAAGTTGGGAATACAGTCACAGCACCAGAAATCGAAAAAATCCTTGAGTTGGTACAAACGTTCCTTATCAACAAGTGAAAACATCAATGTTCTCAGTACTCTTCTCAGCAAAAATCTAGAACACAGCCTCATGCTAGCTACTGTGAAGAAAATTAACTCTGTCCCAACTAAAACCAGCACAATCTTCTTAGGCCATTTTAGAGACCATGCAAAACTCAATACTTATTTTTCATAATTTCAGAGCTGTTTAATGGCACATTGTGAATGCTTGAGAAAATTCTGCACCAAAGCCAGTTCACCTTGCTTTTAAGGATTCTGAGTTTTCTGGCCAAATTTTTCTGAGCTTTCTTTTTGGCTATAGTCTCAGAGGCAACCCTCACATAAGTTAGATTTATTGTCATTTTTAAATGGTTGTGATTAAGGAAATACATTCGAGGGATATGGACTTTATATACTTTGGAGGCAGGTCTTACAAATATTGAGCCTTTGCAGAATTTAATTTTTTTTTTCTCATTGCTATTTGTAATCTCCTAGAGTTATGAATGATGATTTTATCCTTCATAGGAATGTCTCCTGTAGCTCTGAATCTTGACTTGATGCCCAGAGGCCAATCTTTCTGAGCATTTATAAAAATTATTTTGCAAAGTCTGTCTTGCAGAGATGTCAGACATTTGACTGGCTGACCTATTAAGTAGGCAGACTGAATTGAAGGTATATTATTTTCCTTTGTGATATCATGTTTTTCTGTTTGATTCTTAAAATAATCTTATTCCAATTCCTCAAGATTCTTATTTCTACTTTCATAAAAGAAATCGCAGTAGCTGAGTTATAATGAGAGGCCAGTGATGAACAGGTGTACAGTGTCACCTTTTAGTGTCTGGAGAGTAAAAACAGCAAGGAATATACTATTATATAGCAATTAAGGTTGATTTTCTTTACGTCATGAAGCCTAAACCTCTATTTTTAATAGGATCAAATTCCAATCCTAGGTCTGCATATTTATGTTTTGAGATTTCTTTAACTGTCTGCAAACTATGGATTTTTCTTTTTTAAAAGAGCACTGATCTTTACCTGGCTACGAAAGTTCTTTATGACTTTAATCAGTTTCTTGTGGTTTGTGTCTTTTTATTATGCCCTGTGGTGCAATAGAGAAACATTTTTTACCTTTTTTGAATTAGAGACATTTCAGCTGGGACATTTCCACATAAATTTTTTTAGTAGGAGACAATATAGAAGACCACAGTTTTATATTAAGGTAATTAAGCTAATAAGCCCCCACCAATCTTAACACACAGGCGGTAATACCAGCTGATGCTTCATGGGAAACTGTTTTTAATATGTATTGGCATTAGAAGGGTCTATAGTTAACACACAGGTATTTGGTAAAAGGCCAGTCACTATAGACACATAGAAGTGTGGCAGAGGAAGGTGTGGCACAGGGTGATCCCATGACTTTTTAGTCCCTGGGAAATCTGTGGATGCTGTGAAAATTCAGTCTGGACAACCTGACCTATTCAGGTCTTGGACCATGCTTTCTTCCAACTTTCACAGACCTGCTGTGCTGGGATCACCAGTGCAGACAACCTCTGCTCTATAGATATAAGAAAGTTCCTTGCTACCAGAGTACTTGGATGTGATCCCCCTTGGAGCTTCATGGACAACTTTTAGACAGGATAGTCATGACTACTTCAGAAAATCCCAGCCCAAAGCCTAACCCTGATCCACTACCGTGGGTGTAATATGGAATCATGGAATAATTATGTTGAAAGGGGCCCTGGAGGTTACCTAGTCCAACATCCTACTCAAAGCATGGCTAACTTCCAAGTTTGAAGGTGGGTTGTCACTATTCATTCCTACTGCTTTAAACACTAGCTTTTTACATATATTCTGCCTAACTTTGTTGAGAACCCCTTCATTATAAGGTTTCATTATGTAAAATGTAAAGAAATGTGTCCCTTTATTAACCAAGCAGAAAATAAACAGAATATGGTCATATTTTTTTGTAGAATATTTGTGAATTTAGATGAAATCCTGCTTCAGATAGAATTGTTGTAAAAAAATGTTGTCATCAGTTTAAACAAAAGCTGGTCATTGAAATGTAACTATTTCTATGATTCAGTGCAATTTAAAATTAATTTATTGTGATTGAAAAGTGAAAGTTAATGTTTTTTGGTTGTTTTTTTTTTTTTTTTCTTCCCTATCCATGTCAGGAACACTAAATTTTTTTCAGAGTAATTTGTAATGCTAATTATTAGCTCACTGAATTAAATGGTAATGTGTCTCATCTCCTTTAAACAGTTGAAATACATCATACATTCTACTTGGAACTTTATTGTTTTATATTTATTATTGATTGCTAAAGTACATGTAGTTGAATAATTTTGCCTGTAGGTAACATGGAAAAATAATTGATTTTTAATTTAGGTTTTAATTTTTATTTGCAGGGATTGGACTTCGCAGCCTTCACAGGGCATATGTTTGTTGGCATCTGCCTGGTTGTTCTGGTCTCGTTTCCTTTTCTCAGACTTCTTTACTGGAACAAAAAACTTTACAATAAGGAGCCAAGTGAAATTGTTGGTAAGTGTGGGCATGAAAATATTTTTATTATCATTATATTGAATATGTGCTAAATAGAAACTGAATAGTGCCTACTACTATGTTGTCCTCAGATGGAAGTGCCCACTCTCCTTCAATCTCTGAACATTAATTTTTTAACTAATAAATTAGATTTTATTTTTAGTCGTGGTATTTTCTGACTTTTAGAAATGGATGTTTTTCTGGTGTTAAGGTTGAGGTGTTGACATGAATTATTAAATACCTTTCAAAATTTATAGAGATATTTTGCATAATTTATAGCCATTGGCTTGAATACCAGAGTGTTCTGTATTGCAACAGATACTGTCTGCTCAAGGTGATGAGTTCACAACCTAGCTTTAGAAATATCCCAGGTTTCCCTTATGACAGGCATAGTGCACTGTTGCATTCCCTTACTGCTGGTTTTCTCCCATTGTGGGGTTTTTTCTTTCTTCCCCCCTCAATCTTTTGCTGGTATGTGATCAGTGAAGGACATTTCATCGAGTAGAAGATCTTTCCGAGTTCTTTCCAGTGCGCCTCTGTGGCTCTTCCAACCCTAAATTTCCATGGTGTATAAAAACTTCTATAATTCAGTAGGACCAAATCTGTGTCTTTTTAAGGTTGCTCACCTCAGTAATCTCCAGAAGTCTTGGTAAAGCTGTTTCAGTCGGTGTTGAGTATGTTAGTGTCCTTTTGTCTTCACGATTTTATGCCTTTCTATTTTGAAGTTTTCATCATTATTCTCAGGCTTCTGTTTTAGTCGTGAGACTGAAAAATAACACCCAAATTGTCACAATTTCTTTACAAGGTAAGAAATAATTCACTAAGTATAGTTTCTTAGCAAGCTTTGTACAAAGATAATTCAGTATAACAGTTTATTCCCTGGGACTGATTTTTTTTCACTTTGGCTGCAGAAGACCCAGGATCCAGACTTCCACTGAGCACGTAACAGAAGTTTTAATGTGCTCCAGAACATCTCTAAATCTGTGTGTGGGGGGTGGTCTATTTAGAATGGGGAGGACATTTCATATGGTTGATGTAACTTGGCTATCATTTGTAAGCTGTGGAGAAAGATAAGCTCTTCTAAAGATTAATGTAGCTGCCTGCAATAGAACAGATATATTGCAGCCCCCAAAAGTTTACTTCTCTGAGTATAAGAGGAGTCCAAGGTGACTAACTCAATGGTAGAGATCTTCATGACAGGTGACTAATTTAGGCAAAACGAGTACCACTTGTAGTGACTTACCTTATTCCAGAGGAAATTAGATTTAGGAGAAGTATTTTATTAAAAAGACAGAAGTGACAGTCCTCAGTGGATTGTACCATGTCTCTTTGTTCCCATCTGATAGAAAGGTCAGAGAAGAGACTTTGTTTTTTAGGAAGTTAGCTCTTGTGCTGACATTTGGTTTTGAAGGACTTCAATGCCAGTTCAGCACCAGGCACACTCAGCCTACCTGTGCATAGCTCTAGGGGCCAAAGTCTTTCCCAATATTAAGAACCAAAGTGTTTTTGAGGTGTTCTGAAAGTGATACTATGTAACGGTTTTATAAGAGAATTAAGGAGAATTTTCCTTCTATATATTTGCTTTGTATGAAATATGCATTTTCATTACTGTGCCAGTGTAAAACAGCTGAGGCTTTCTGCACCCTTGGAGATTTGGCCCTTAGAGCAAGAGAAATAAGCAATGAACTCGGTTCCTAAAATGCCTAGATATTTCCCTGTGGCACTACAAAGCAAGATGTATTATTACTTCAGAAAGCCATCACGAATCTTCTTTTCCTACTTTCTCATAGCAGGGAAGGTGCTATATGTCTTTCTTACGAGGTAAATAAATCTACTGACTATATACTTCTGGATCAAAGAGACAGAACTTATTTACCAACAGGACACTTCTGGCTCATGTCAGTTTATACTACATCAGTTTCCATTCACATATCTAACATTTTATCTTGAGTTAATGCCTTTAGAGAAAGTAAGTCATTGAAAATTGGCAGTGCTAACATGCAGAAAGGAATGTTCTCCTCTCTTACCCACAGGTGCACCTTAAATTTCTTAATTTTGAATAATTAATGTTGAGTTTTGTCTTATGGGAAGGCATCATTACCTAAATTAAGTACCCATAAGAAACTTAATAATAAGCATTGCAAACTGTGTATCATGGGTGAGTGATCTTCCTACTTGTCTGGTCAAAGTCGGTAGTTTGAAGAGAGGCAAAAAATCTATGAGATATACAATATCCACTCCCAGATGGTCCCCAATATACTGCCAAAATGCATAATCTGAACAGGTGGGGATTTGGCTCATGTTCCTATTGCTGCTTCTCTGAACCAGTGGATGAAAAGCTGGGTGTGAGCTGTCATGGTGCGCTCGCAACCCAGGCGGCCAACCCTATCCTGGGTGAATGAAAAGCAGCATGGCCAGCAGGTGAAGGGAGGTGATTGTCCCCCTCTACTTTGCTCTCATGAGACCCCACCTGGAGTACTGCATCCAGCTCTGGGGTCCTTAGCATCGGAAAGACATGGACCAGTTGAAGTGAGTCCAGAGGAGGGCCACAGAAATGATCAGAGGGCTGGAGCACCTCTCCCCTATGAAGAAAGGCTGAGAAAATTGGGGTTGTTAAGCCTGGAGAAAAGTGGACTCTGGGAAGATATTGCAGCCCTCCAATACTTAAGAGGCCTAGAAGAAAGGTGGGGACAGACTTTTTATTAGGATCTGTAGTGATAGGACAAAGGGTAATGGTTCTAAAGTAAAAGAGGGTACATTCAAACTAGATATAAGGATGATGGTGGTGAAGCCCTGGAACAGGTTACCCAGAGAAATGGTAGATGCCCCATCCCTGGAAACATTCAAGGTCAGGTTGGATGGGGCTGTGAGCAACCTGATCTAGTTGAAGATATCCCTGCCCATGACAGGGATTTAGACTAGATGAGCTTTAAAGGTCCCTTCCAACACAAAGCATTCTGTGATTCTATATCAAAATACTGATAGAGCAAGTTCTAACCTGTTCTACACAGGGCTCAAGAATTAGAATCCTTTGTGGAAGAGATCATCTCTGGGAAAGGAATTACCTTTTTATTGTGGAGGAAAGGAACCTTTGCAACCTCTCAGATAAAACCCTTTGTAGTTATGCATCATTAAAAAAAATGATTACTTTTTTTTTGCCTGGAGATATATTAATAAATCTTTGGTATTCAGCATTTTTTTGTAACTTCCCAACTTCCTTGTTTAAAAATAATTGCTTTTATTAATTCCTTATTTTCTAATAACAGCCATAGCTTCATGGACATTTCCATGAATAACTAGTTATTACAGACTTAAATTATCTTTAGAAGTGCCAGCTTGCAAGGTGTCTTGAAATAAGTAATATCTAAAGAGTCAGAACACACATTTGTCAATTGTGAGCAATTTTGATCCTGACATAATAGCATTCTTTTGTGAATATACATTTTAGAAAATAGAATTTTTATCTTTCATTTATAAACCTTTAAAGCTTATGTTTTTGATTTTTAGGAAAACAAGTATGAATAACAATTTTTTGATTAATTTGAATAGTACAATTTATTCACTGACATAATATTTTTGCCAGTGAAATACTGTACACTGCTAAGAAGCTAGCACATTTCCCTCAATTCATCAAAGTAATCTTTGTTACTCAAATCTTAGCATATTCAGATACAGCAGGCTCCCAATCAGTAGACCATGTGTCTTTTTCTTATAATCAGCTGCTTCTCCATTGCTGAGAAACTAATCAGTAGCTGTTCAATTAGAGGAAATGCTAAAGCGCTACTCTTTCTAATGAAATTTTCTGTGAAAGGGGAAGAGAAAGAGACGAACACAGCTCCGTTAGGAGGGAGCTATCACAGTTTGGATTTGCAGAATGTTCTCTAAGGTGCTTTCAGGGATCCTTCCATCTCAGGTTGCAATGATTCTGTGATAACTTCAAATAGGTTGTTTGAAGCAGCTGTTTTAATCAACTGAATACCATCCTTCCCTCAGCCTGTCCCCAATTAGCAATTAAACAAGGTATGTGAGATTTAATCAGTATATTATTCTCCCCAGATTTTTTTCCACTGTATCCAAGTGCTTTAAGCTTTTTTCTGTTCCTTTGAGCCAGACAGATTATTGAAAATGGATAAGCGCTAATTTTAAGAACAGACAATGCTGTTATTCTGATGATACATTGGCAGATCAATTTTGGTGCTTTGTGTTACTAGTGTCTTTAAACTGTTGGTCTTCAGACTGAGCTGTAGCACCTGTGCAGCAGAAAAAAAAAAAAAAAAAGCATGCTCGTTCTCCAGGACCCACTATCTACCTGCAGTAGCTTGAAGTGGGGCATATTGCCAAAGGAGAAAATCTGAAGGACTCAGCTATGAGAGGGAACATCAGATTCTTTTTAAGAAAAAAGGGCTACTTCGATGAATTTTTAGAGTGTGACTTCCAGCTAATAAATTTGTGCCTTGTCCTGTGTGATGCAGAAAGATATGTTAGGATTAGGGTAGTAAGCTGAGAAGATTTAAAAAATGTATATATATTTTCTGAAAAGAATGTGTAAGGGGTAATAATATATGAGTGTAAGAGGAAATAAACTTTCTGTTCCCCCTTGTCCCAAAACTTGAAAGCAAAGTTTCTGCTTCCCTTAAGGATTAAGAATACATTATTTAGCCCCAGGAAGTGTGACAATACACTGTTAGGCCTCATCTATTGAGCTGTGCAGATGTGGACTTCAGTGTTTGGGGAGGTTGCCGTCCTCAGGACAGTGCGTGGCACATAGTCTAGCGACAAGTATTGTTATTGTAATTTTTGTCAAAGGGGAAGAGCTTCTTTTATCACGACAACTGTCTTAACATCAAGTCCCCATTTCTCTTGTGTTGCTTGCCCCAGTTTTGGATTGTTTCACTGGCTGAAAGGGAGACCCACTGTTGAAGCCAGAGTGGTAATGCCAGGAGGAAGGGGAGCATGTTATTCCTTCTGGTGTAGCTCCCTGTCTGCAGCAGCTGGGAAAA